TCCCATAGGGTACCAGTTCAAGTCCCAGCTACTCCACTTTGGATCCAGCTCCTGCTAATATTCCTGGGAAAGCAGCAGCAGATGGGTCTCTGCACCCACATGGGCGACCTGCAAGAAGCTCCTGGCTCCTGGCTTTGGTCTGGCTCAGCCCTGGCTGTTGTGGCCATTTGGGGAATAAACCAGTGAATGGAAGACCTCTCTCTCTCTCTCTCTCTCTCTCCGGCTCTCCCCCTCTCTGTAACAGTGTCTTTCAAATAAATAAAAATAAATCTTGAAGAAAAAAAATTGATTTAAAAAAGATCAAAAGACCTGAGCAAACACCTCACCAAAGAAGTATAAATGGCAAATAAGCATATTAAAAATGCTCTAGGGGCCGGCATTGTGGCATAGCAGGTAAAGCCACTGCCTGCAGTGCCAGCATCCCATATGGGCGCCTGTTCGTGTCCCGGCTGCTCCACTTCCAATCCAGCTCTCTGCTGTGGCCTGGGAAAGCAGTAGGAGATGGCCCGAGTGCTTGGACCTTTGCACCCGCATGGGAGACCTGGAAGAGGCTCCTGGTTCCTGGCTTTGAACTGGCATAGCTCTGGCCTTATGGCCATCTGGGGGATGAACCAGCGGATGGAAGACCTCTCTCTCTCTTTCTCTCTCGCTCTCGCTCTCGCTCTCCCTCTCTGCCTCTCTGTAACTCTGCCTTTCAAATAAATAAAATAAATCTTTAAAAAAAAAAAAAAGAGGTAATGTTGCAGATAGTGCTTAACAACAACAAACACAGAAAATTTAAGTCCACACAAAAACCTGCACGTGGTTTCCTACAGCAGCTCCAGTCAAATCTTCAAGTAACCAGGACACCCTTCAGTGTGTGCATATATAAATAAACTGGCATCTCCAGACAATGGAGGTTCTTTAGCATTAAAAATGAACTCTGAAGCCATGAAAAGACATGGAAGAAACATACATGCACATTACTAAGTGAAAGGAGCCAACCTGAAAAGGCCACATACTGTATGACTCCAACCACAGGACATTCTGGGAAAAGGAGAAACTACAGAGGCTGTGCAGAGGTCAGGGCTGCCAGCGGCCGAGAGAGGTGCACACGCGGAACACAAGGCCTTTCGGACAGTGAGGCTCTTCTGTGTGGTTCCATCATGGTGGATCCACTTCATTACAAGTATGTCCAAATCCACAGAATGCACAACCCCAACAGTGAACCCTAATGGAAGCCATGGACTTTGGCTGACAATGATCTGTCAATAGGTCATCAATTTTAACAAATGGGGGCAGTTGTTGTGGTGCAGCAGGTTAAGATGGCATCAAGGATGGCCCCATCCCAAATCGAAGTGCAAGTTTGAGTCCTGGCTCCTCCTCTTCCACTCCAGCTTCCAGCTAACGTGCGCCCTGGGAGGCAGCAGTGCATGGCTCAAGTACTTGAGTGCCTGCCACCCACATGGGAGACTTGTATGTGGTACTAGGTTCATGGCTTTGGCATGGCCCCACCCTAGTTGTTGGAGGCACTGCAAGAGTAAGTCAGCAGATGGAAGATCTCTCTGTCTGTTACTTTCAAATAGGAAAAGAAACGAATTTTTAAACTTTAACAAATGTGCCACTTTTGGTACACGGGAAGCTCTGTACCTGTAGGTGCAGAGGGCATGAAGGAAATCCATGTACCTTACATTCAATTTTGTTGGGAACAGGAAACTGCTCTAAAAAGTAGATTTTTTACTTTGTGGCCATATAAAATCCTACACTTAGTTTCTCAACAGGAGGTTTCTGCTTCCGGAATTAATTTTTGCCTACGCTGGACAGTCTAATTCTAGCAAGCAAAGCATGAGAAAAGAAAGTGTGGGATTTTATCTCAGAGCCAGTATCCTCCAACAATCAGTTCAAATGATGCAGAGTCATTTTTTATTACAAAAAATGTTTAAAGGATTAAGATTATTCATACATAAGATTTTTACACAGCACCTTGCTAACAACTAGCCTTTAAAAGGGATTACTCTGCTCAGCATCATTTTAACTGTGCTTGGATTAATCACCTGAAGTAGGAACACCTTTGAATAAGTGACAGCACACACATATACACATGTGTGCAGACACACACGCACGCACACACACACACACATGCATAATTAGAATAAACAGCTCAGAAGGGAGAAGTCATTTTGCAAATGGGAAGCTGAGATGGGTTGTAGTCAGCTCTAAATACCACGAAAGCTTGCAGGTTGAACTCTCTGGACAAATCACATGCTGTGCTAGAATCTTTATTGCAAGCTTCAAGAGAGGGGAACAGCTTGTTAACGCTTGTCTTGGAGCAAGGCAGGAAACTGGAAAGGTTATTAAAGTCCCATTTACTGAGAGGAACAGTGCCGGTGACAGCAGCTCTCGCCACCCTCTGGGGTCCCGAGACTCACTGATGCCGGAAGTTGCAGGGACACTGCTGCTTCCACGAGCCGGGCGCTCAGTCTGCCTCCCGGGAGTCCTCCCAGGTGCTCCCTGTTTACGGTTAGCGTCTCTTTCAGCACAAGTACTGTTGCACTGCTTGAACAGAGAACTATCTAGCCTTTTTATAAATTCTTCTCTACAATATACTTATATTTTTTAAAATGTTGTAAAGCAAGTAATATGATCCTATTTAAAAATGTATTTATTTATTTATTTCTTTGAGAGGTGGAGAGACAGGCAGATGGACAGAGACAGCTCCATCCACTGGTTCACTCCCCGAATGCCTGGAAGCTGGGAACTCAGCCTAGGTCTCCCAGATGGGTGGCAGGGACCCCACCACAGCATGTGGTGTGCATCAGCTGGGAGCTGGACTCAGGCACAGGACTGGGACACGGACTCAGGCAATCTGAGAGGAGACATGGGTGTCCCAAGTGGCATCCTGACCACTGCACAGAACGCCTACCCGGTACGATTCTATTTTTATTAAAAAAAAAAAAAAAGTTTGGGGCCGACGCTGTGGTGTAGCGGATAAAGCCACTGCCTGCAGTGCTGGCATCCCATATGGGCGCCAGTTCTAGTCCCGGCTGCTCCACTTCCGATCCAGCTCTCTGCTATGGCCTGGGAAAGCAGTAGAGG